TATTAGATTAACAGAAATGGGTTAATAATTAAGACAGAGCTAGCTGATAAGAAACAAGTAACTGGCCAATAGCATTATTATTATTATTACTTTTGGAGTATATTTGGATTTTGTTATTGTTTTGTTTTTCAAGACAGGATTTCTCTGTAGCTTTGGAGCCTGTCCTGGAACTCTCTCTGTAGATCAGGCTGGCATCGAACTCACAGAAATCCACGTGCCTCTACCTCCGTTACTGTTTTAGACTGACTCAATCTCAAGTATCCTTGGGTGGCCTTGAACTCAGAGAAATCCATCTACCTCTTAATCCTGAGTTTTAGGATTAAAGGTGTGTACCACCCCACCCCACCCCCCAGCTTCTGGCTGCTGGGATTAAAGGTGTGTGCCTGCCTTCTGTGGCTTCCGGCTGACTTTACTTTCTGAATCCTCAGGCAAGCTTTAATATGTATCGCTCGCCATACAATCTGTTCCACTAATCGGGCAAAGGCCTAGAGATTTAAATAAAGGACAAGACAGTGGGTCATTCGTGCAACAGGAATACTGCCCAATGCTGTTTATTGAGCTGTTTATTGAAAGAAAGAAGCAGGCTTAAAATGGACTCAAAGCACAGTGGAAAACAATCAAGCTTCAAGTGTGCAAGTTCTCGGGCTTAGTTCCTCCCCAGCAGATGTGTGTTACCAAATCAGGAAGTGTACCAAGAACTACTCTGGGGCAAGATGTCCCAGCCAACAGCTTCAGGCTTGCTCAAGGTGCTTCAGGGGTCCATGCAGGACCCTACATTAATAAATCATTAATAATATATCACTACAAATGATCTCTTCAGCCCCAAATACACAAAGCATGTTAGAAAGTCTTGGAGAGATGGTCTGTACAAAATGACCATGAAGTGTTTTTAACAAAATCTCACTCGTATAAAGACTTGGGAGCCAGATGCTGGGGTGATAGCCTGCTAGCTCAGAGAGACTAAGAAAGCACTCAGCTCTTGCCCCTCAGCTGCTGTCCCCACAACCTCTATTTTTGACTACACTGTCTCAAGCGAGACTCCTCAAACTGAATGTTCCTCCCTCTACTTCCTGTATGTGTCTTTCTGTCCTCCTCACTTCCTTTCATTCTCTATGGTTTTTCCCTTAATAATTCTATGTTTACTTTTTGTCAACTAGTCGCTTGCTCTGCCTCTTGGCCTACGGTTGACTTTATTTAATCCTGTCCACAATATTCAAGCGAAAAGCTCTCGGATGAAAGGTGTGTGCTAGGGCTGAGCCACACCACAGCTAGAAACAGGTTTTCCCAGTGAGTAATGTAATCTCTGGGTTCACAATGCGACCATATATCCTGCAACAATTTAAGTAGTGAAAGGATGGAAAATACAGCCTAACTCTCCAATGACCCCAGGAAGCTAGAAGTCTAGAAATACTATCTAAGAAGCCCTACATTTCTCAAATTCCAGACCCTGTCCTCTGCCAGTAAGTAGGCGAAAGGTCACACTTCTTGCTGCTTACGACAGGCCCTTGAGTACATAATCCTGGCCTAGTATGAAAACAGGAAATGAGCTGACTAACCTTATCTGACTTTGTAAACTGCTTGTGAAACCCAGCCCCAGTGACCTATCCTAACTGCCATTTGTCACCCCACCTAGGAGCCTGCGCAAATGCAGACTTCCTGGCTTGTAGAAAACTGATTGGTCTATAAAGTGCAGGCTCGGATGGTTTAAATTGATTGGTCTAAAAACTATAAAATGGTTTAAATTGATTGGCCCGCACGGCATGGGCTCTGGACCTATGAGAGGATTGGTTTGCGATGGGCGGGCTTTGTTGTAACACTATAAAAGCTGTCTCAATTCTGTACTCGGGGTCCTCAGTCCTCTGCCCCTGCGTAGCATGTGACTGTGGGTCCCAGCATGCTTGGAGTAAAAGTCCTCTTGCTGTTTGCATCAAGACCGCTTCTCGAGTGTGATTTGGGCTGTCGCCTTTCCTGAGCCGGAGCGTGAAGATCCTCGCTATGAGGGTCTTTCAGTAGCAGAACCTGATACTGGAGACCTGTTAACTGTCCTGAAAAGCAAGTTGGGAGGTGTTGCTGATGTCAGTTTTCCCATTTATTTTTTTTGTTTGTTTGTTTTTCAAGACAGGGTTGTTCTGTGTTGCATTGTCCTGGAACTAGCTCTGTAGATCAACCTGGCTTCCAAATCACAGAGACCCACCTGTCTCTGCCTCCCGAGTGCTGGGATTAAAGGCGTGCGCCACCAACACCTGGCCAGTTTTTCCATTCTAATGGCATTGAGTCAATTCCTCCAGGATCATCTCAGTTTTAGCAAAGCCTTATACACAGAACAATATCCTACTGTGAGCTATGTCCAGAATTACTTCACTTTCACATAAGCACTGAGGAGCCATCTTATAGTTAAGACAAACTGGGTTGGTTTGTGTTTATGATTAAATCTCTGTTAAGGATTGGGTTATGCTTCACTTGTAACCTTAAGTACAAATGCTCTGTATTGCCTGTCCCAGGAGACTGCAGTCATGTCTTTGTTTCAAAAATGTTGGAATGACCGTCTTGCAACCCTACCTTTGTTTCAGGTCATGACCACCTGCAGGTTACGTCCTGCTTCTGTAACCTTGACCATTTACCTGCTGAATCCTCTGGCTGGAAACCCCCACCCTAAGCTAGAAAAACCAGGTCTTCTTCACATCCAAGGCTGACCTCTTGCACCTCGCCTTAGGGGGAGGCAGCCTGTGTATACGAATAAAAAAGCTTGCTTTAATAAATGTGGCCATGATGATTTGGTCTTTCCCCTTTTTTTTAGTCATGTGTGACAAAAGCTCATCTCCTCTCCCTGTATTCTTCAAGCTCCAGTCAGCTTTTTATTCAGCTTTTTGTTGTCGTTGTTGTTTATAGAGAAGGGATTTCTCTGTGTAGACCAGGCTGGCCTTGAACTCAAGAGATCTGCTTGCCTCTTCCTTTCAAGTAATGGAATTAAAGGGATGCACCATTACATCTAGCTTTTTACCCAGCTTTGACTATATAATTTCTATTTTATGTATTTATTTATTTGTTTTTTTTTTCAAGATAGGGTTTCTCTATGTTGTCCTGGAACTCACTTGGTAGATCAGGTTGGCTTCAAACTCAGATCCACCTGCCTCTGCCTCCTGGGTGCTGAGATTAAAGGCCTTCGGCACCACAGCCCGGCTCTATCATCTTTATTAAGAGCCAATTAATGGAAAGATGCTGCCTATCAGACAAAAAAAGCAATGGCATCTACCTCTGGGGTGGAGACCTATCATCGTTTTCATCTTTAAACCTTAACCCAACTGTGCCTGACACTCACGTGGCTAAGGAACCACCGCCCCTCAGGAAAGCAGGGCTTACTTTAATCGATGCAGAAGGGACAGGAAGAATAATCCACCCTTGAATGAGATACTGTATTTTCCCTTTGAAAAACTCTTGGCCTCTACTGCAGTCGTTCCAAATTACTCAGGAGTCCTGACTCAGAAACGTCCACCATGCCAGTCTTCGCTTTTCTTTTGGATGCTGGCCTCATACAAGTTCTTTGGTACTGCAGGCTTTCTTACTCTAGAGCTCCCCTCCTGGCCATGTGGCTGCTTGTAACCATGCTGCTGACCTCTTAAGTCTGCCGAACAAAAATGGTGTGACTTTCTCTCTTCCAAGTCTCCATCTTCCTCTGGGCAGCTGGCAAGATTTTCAGCTTGCCTGCATTATGAATACTATTTTTCTTTTAAACTCTAATAAAATTTCCTCTAGCTTCCTTTTGAGGGTCTTCTTAAATTGTTTTATTAATGAGACCAAGAACCTCAAGAGGCAGCTCTGATTTCCCTAGTAACAGGTGGTAACTTCCATGGGACTCCCCAGAATTTCCGGTAACAAGCGTGGGAGAGGGGAGACATGAAATACAATACTGAAACTCTAAGACTAGAATTGGGCTCTTCCCCCCCACTTTGAGACAGGGTTTTACGCTGACTGTAACCTAGGATGATCTTGATCTTGTAATGATTCTCCTGCCTCAGCCTCTGGAATATTAGGAGTACAGGTGTGTGCTACCAGGACTGGATTCTTTTTTTTTTTTTTTTTAACAGTTTAATATATAGTTAAAACATCTGCAGATCTTTTATTTACTTCTTGAAAAATTAACTGCTTTTATTCATTTAAGAAGCAAGATTAATTTCACCTTTTCCCACCTGGGTATTTTCAAATGACTCCGGAAATTTTGCAATTTCTCTCCCCATACTTCACACTCATTCATTCATTCATCACAAAGATGAATTCAGGCCACACACACACACAATTCAAGCTGCCTGCACGCTCCCCCTTTCACACAATGTGTGTGTGCTTGCACAAACGTGTTTTGGTTCTTTTCTCATTTTTGCACGTTACTTTACTTCTTCGCCCTCCCCGCGATCTCCCCTTCGCCGCCGCGCCGCGTAGTAGAGGCAGTTTTCAAAGGAGTTTCTTAATTAATCAGGTTGGATCGCCGAGGTGGAGCCCCGCCCCTTGGGCGGGGCCAGAGCTGCGGGCTGAACCAGGCGCCTGCTCCGGCTCCTTAACAAGCGATCCTTTCACTACCTTCAGAGAGACCCACACGCACACACGCGCGCACTCACACACACACACACACACACACACGCACACACACGCAGCGAGCCAATCAGCGGCCGCGGTCCTCGGCGTCCGGAGCGGGGGCTGGCCCCGCCCACTCCCAGCCTCCCGCGGGGGCCGTCCGAGCCTCGCGGGCTCCCGCAGGCCCCGCCCCCCGGGCAGGCGCGGCGGCCATTGGCTGGCCCTCGGCTGGCTGTCGCCGCGGTTGCCGGGAGAGGGCGGTGGGGGCGGGGCCGGCGGTGCGGTGGTCCAGGGGGCCCGAGAGAAAGGCTTGCGCGGCGCGGACGGGCGGGCGGGCGGCTGCGGGCGGCTCGGCGGCCGTTTGCCTGGCGGCCCGCGCGGCGGCGTCGCGGTGCGGGAGCCGGTGCCCCGTTGACAGCTCCGCGTCTTCCGGCCGCGCCACTCGGGAGGCGGCTTCCTCCCGGCGCTGCCTCCGCGAGTCCGCGCGGCCTCGCAGGAGAAGCGGGAGGCGGCGGAGGTCGTCGGGGGCGGCGGGCGGCGAGCGCGCTCCCGCTTCCCCGGCGCCGGCCGCAGGACAATGGAGGTGGCTGTGGAGAAGGCGGCGGCGGCCGCGGCGGCGGCGGCGGCGGTGGCGGCGGCTCCGGCCGGGGGCCCCGCGGCGGCGGCGGCAGCGCCAAGCGGGGAGAACGAGGCCGAGAGCCGGCAGGGCCCGGACTCGGAGAGCGGCGGCGAGGCAGCCCGGCTCAACCTGTTGGACACTTGCGCCGTGTGCCACCAGAACATCCAGAGCCGGGCGCCCAAGCTGCTGCCCTGCCTGCACTCCTTCTGCCAGCGCTGCCTGCCCGCGCCCCAGCGCTACCTCATGCTGACGGCGCCCGCGCTGGGCTCGGCCGAGACCCCTCCACCCGCGCCCGCCCCGGCCCCGGCCCCCGCCCCGGCCCCGGCCCCGGCCCCCGCCCCGGGCTCCCCGGCCGGTGGTCCTTCGCCATTCGCTACCCAAGGTGAGAGGGCCCCGCGAGGTGGTGGGCGCGACCCGCTGTCACGCGACCGCGGAGGGGTGGAGAGGGCCCCGGGCTGGGCGAGCGACTTGGCGGTCGGTCCCTCACTTTTTTTGGAGCAGCTCTTGACGGCTGCGGCGAGTTTGCAGCTCCCCGCTGCCTCGGCGGAGCTTTGTCCGGGTGCATCTGCTCCGGATCAGCTCGTGTACACCCGGGTTAGGCGAGCCGAGCCGGAGAGGGGGAGGGAGGAGGGGAGGGAGAGGAGGGATGGAGGGATGCAGATGAAGTGATGGGGAGTTTTCTTTGATGATTGATTGCAGACTGGCCGCCCGTCTGTTTCGAATCTTGTGCGTTCGGGGCTCTTTACCTTAATGAGTTCCCTCTCGTCTAGCCCCTCCGCTGGGGACAAAGGAACCGGGAGAAAGAGTTTTGTCGTCTGCCGCTTTCGGAGATTATATTTTGAGCGACACGATAAAGGGCAGAAAGTAAATAGTCTTCCAGAGTGTTTTGTACGGCTGTAGTTGGAAGTTACTTTCTCGTTTGTGGTGCTATTGGGTAATTAGTTTTTGACAGGTAGTTCCCATTGCTTATTATGTTAACAGGTTTAAAGCGTTTAAAGTGCAGTAATTTCTGGGAGGACACTTGAGGCTTTTAACTTTTAATACTGCAAATATTTGGGCAAATTGACGTCTTTTAAGAATACTAAATAACTGGAGACGAGAAATCTGTTTCTGTTCATGTTATTTTTTTTTCTTTTGTTTATTGGTGTGTGTGTTTTCTTCCACAATTAGCGATCTTCCCGCCTTAGCCTCTTTAGAGTGAGGATCACAGGCTTGAGCCATCACACCTGGTGGCCAGTCACTTTTAACACCTGTTTTAAAGGGAATAACTGCTTTGAGTTAACTATGTTAAATAGTTACAGTGTGTTGGAATGCGATTATGTGCTTGGATGTTGTCTTAGACTCACTTAGCTCTCTTAGAACAGTCTTCAGTCACAGGAAACTATTTTTCATGGGTCTCTATTGTTATGGGGAGCCCACCAGAGACCACTCAGTCATCTATACCCGATTAAAGTCTTTATTCCATTTGGCTGGAATTAACACCCAGGTATTCAGGGTGCAAATGTAACCCAGGTGATTCTCAACCTGAGGGTCCAACCCTTGGGCCTAATGACGTTTTCACAGGGGTGGCATATCAGATAATTACATTGCAGTTCATAATAAAGGCAAAATTACAGTTACGAAGAAGCAGCAAAAGTAATTTTATGTTTAGGGGTCATAGCATTAGGACGGGTGAAAACCATTGGTCTGAACTTTAGGAGCTTTTAAAGGCAAAAACCACATCCTGTTATCTTGCCTGGCAGTTGCAAGGGGTGGGGGTGGGGTGGTGTTTGAACAAGCAAGCAGTTTAACAGAAGCTAAGATAAGCAGTTTAGCTGGAAGAGGTTTGCACAAACGGGCAGTTTAACTGAAGCCAACGTACATTAGCTGGGTATCTTGACCTCACTTAGGTTCTTAGAATAGAGCTTGATAATTTCCCACAAGATTCTCCTTCAAGGAGGCCAAACTCTAGTCGAACATAAGATGGCCTCAGCAAAAATACAAGACAGGGAATGGATGTGACAGGGCAAGATCGTGCAGAGGTTCGTCTGTCTTGTGTTGGTTCTATGGGCATGGGTTTAAGCATTGACTTGTCCTGGTCTGGGGGTGGGGACCATGGTTGGTCCTAAGGACCAGTAGCTTGACTGAGTTTATTCTGATTGACATATTGGTCATGAAGTTGAGGGTGCAGGGTCCCACAGTTAGTTGGATCAGAATAAGAATCAACAGTCAGGCTAATGCTGACAGTTAGGGTGGTCAGCCATGGGGACCAGGTAAACAGACTGATAACAATTATCCAGTCTGTATCTCTGTTCTTCCTTTCTTTAAGGTTTTCTCTGACCATAGCAGGGTTTCCCTAATTAGCCCTTTTGGTTGGCAAGCGTCTCCTAAGACCATACCAAGTCCTCTTTTTCATTAAAAAAAAAAAAAAAAAAAAAAAAAAAAATCTAGCCTCCTTAAATTCTGTAGGACTACCTGTGCAAGGGAGTCAACTTGGCTCTCCAGCCTAGAAGTGATCTAGGTCTGAATGTATCTGGGAACTGAGTTCTCTAAAGTTTTGATTCCCAACAATCAAAGCGGGAGAGCCTATGGCAGCTGTACTGGCTATTCCTATCTCTACTAGGATCAGGGCTAGAATTGGGTCCCTTTTGACTTAACATTGAGACAAGGCCAAGATGAGCTTTTTTACCGACAGGATAACATAGACCAATTATACATAGAGTTGGGGGTGTGACTTTCCAGTGTGTACAGGAGACACATTTAGTCAAATCATTAGTGCAAGCAAGCCAGGTAGGTAGGTAGCTTCAGGGGCATGGAAGAATATTCAGTCTTCTAGGCTAATGTTGATTTATTGGGCATCTGAGCAAACCTTATTGTAAAGTGAAGAAGCAAGATTATAATTAGAGGACTATATTATAGGTACCTTGTCCTTGGCTGGGCAACTCAACATTGGCCGGGTATGCATAAAATTGTAATCCCTGAAGACCTTTCTCTAGTTTGTCTTCTTCATAACCTGATTTACTGACCCCTGTTCCTCCTCCAGATCCATATTGTTTCACCACTGGAAGGGACAAAAGAAGTCTTCTCCAGGGTTTCCTGAGTTCCCATGTCCAGGTTTGGGGATGATGGGAATTGTGTATCACCACTTAGTAAACTCTGGTCAGTCTTTTCTGTAAGGGGTTTGAGGTCCAAGTGACTGTCCATCGTCCTCAGTGACTTTTCATTTTTTTTAGTTGGTAGTGATGACTCCAAGAAATAATACCATCTCCTTTGACTGCAGTTGGATTATTGAGGAAGGCTGGGTAGAGCCCCTTCCAGATAGCTCCCAGGGTCTTGGTAGGGATCCATTTTATCCAAACCAAGTCTGGCTGGAACTGGTGAGCAGGTTCAGAGGTGGGAGAGGGCAAGATTCCTTTATAGTCTGGTCAATGGCGTGGCAAGTTCCTGCTAAGCATACAAGTACTGGAGAAGGGGATGATTAGACATTTCTGTTTGGGGAATATCTTGGGGTTTGGGGAGAATGGGAAGAGGTTTCCCAGACATCATTTCAAAAAGAAGTAATCTCCTTCTAGCGAGAAGTGCAGCTGGGCGGGCAAAGGGAGAAGGTTGGCCCAGTTCTCATCAGTTTCCAATTTTGGTCAGAGTCTCCTTAGCAGTTTTACACATCCTTTCTGCCTGACATGAGCTCTAGCCTAAATGCACAATGCAATTTCCAGTTAATACCTGTCAGAGTTTGAGATACTTTGGCCAGGATAGTGCTGGACCCCAAAGCTAGGGACAGTCCAAAGTAGTAATTAATTCCTGAAGAAGTTTCCTAGTAACTATTAGAGCAGTCTGTGTTCCATTGGGGTAGGCTGGAGAAGGTGTCTGCCGACACCACAAATATTTATAGCCCAAACCAGTAGTCCTCATTTCAGTAAAGCCCAACTCCTAATGTGCGCCAGGCCTATTTCCTAAAGCCTAGGTCCTTTGTGGGCTCTTCTCCTTTGGGGTTTACCTGAGTACAGATGGCACCTCTAAAGTTGATGTCTTTAGTTAGGCTTTCCAATTTAAAACATAATACTTAGATCTGAGGAGTTGACCAGTATTCATGGCTCCTAGGTGGTGGCTTGATGGAGGTCTTCAACCCATTGCCTTCCCAGACTTGTGAGAAGGATGGAACCACTATTACCTGTCCTGTATGGCTAGCTCTCGTTTTCATATAGTCAGTCTCCCCTGGCATGCTTTATGAGTGGTCTGGTAAGCTGGGCTCCAGCAGAGCTTCTAAGACTTGAAGAAGCCCATTGGTTTTAGGGCTACTTCTCAGGCAGTCAAGTCAGTCGCTCTGCTATCTGATTCCTGGGGAATCCCCTTTGTGGTGTCCTTTGCAGTGGACAATGGCTACCCTCTTGGGTAACCACATAACTTGAGTAGGACTAAGATCTCTTCTGTTTGATTAAATTTTCTGCTGAAGTTAAGAGTTCTCTTTTCCCCATCGACCTGGGCAATGGTGAACGAATATTGGCTGTCAGTGTATATGGGGATAGCAAATAGTCTTTTCCCCCAGCAGAATGCTTTGGTGAAAGCTAAAAGCTCAGCTTGTTGAACTGAGGTTCTCCTCCTTAAAGAGTGTGCCTAGAATGTCTTGTCTTGTCACCACTGCTACTCCTGCATACCTGATACCATCTTGAACAAACGAAACTGCTCCCATCTGTGAGCAGTACCTCATCTGGTGTCACCAGTGGGGCATTAGTCATCCCACTGGAGATTGACAGGGTCGAGGGCTAACGTGTTGTAGAACCAAATGTGGGTTTGATCAAGAAGTAGGGCTTGCTATTGGGTGCCCTCACCCACCCCAGGGTTAGACATCATCTCTCGGGTGCCCCTCAAGAGGGCCTGAATAGCATTTGAGACTGTCAGGAACAGCTCTTGCTCTAAAGCTAATTTGTCAGCTGCTTTTGCCAGCAGAGTAGCAGCAACTATAGCTCCTGTACCTGCTGGCCATCGGTTCACCTGGGTCAAGTCTCTTGGTCACATTTATTTAGGCCACTAGTCTTTTCCAGGATCCCAGAGTTTGCCTAAGAACCCTTGCGGATGTCTCTGGCTCCAACCACATAATGGGTGGGATGGCTTAATGTCTGGAAGGGCCAGGACCAGGGCAGACACCAGGGCTTTTTCTCAGGGCTTTGAAGAAGGTCCTTGGCTCAGTCTCATTTCATTCCAGAGTCTTCATACCCCTGGTGCTTGGCTATCTAGCAGATCCATGTTCATAGCCAGCAATATCTAAATGCTCCCAGGAATTCTCATACTTGGTTGTGCCCCCACCCACCCATATAGGAGCATGGATTTGCAGGATGGCTGAAATACAGTTGTAGGAAAGCATTTCCTCTCCTTCCTCTTGGTATGTGACCTGAGGTACACACA